GGCTCTCTCTCTCTCTCACTTTACGCCCCTCCCCCTCTCCAGACCCCAGTGAACCCAGCGCCATTACTCCATCTGACGGGTACAGTTACACCCGCCAGCGCTCACAAACGCGCAACCCCCCACCCCCCCCCCCGCGTGCCCCCCCCCCCCCGCCCCCCTCCCACTGTTAGCATTTGCGGAGCTGGTGTAGAAAGACACGAGAGTAGGAGGTAGCAAAGCACAGAAAGGAGCGGCGGATTCCACCTCATGAAGCATACAGCTTGAAGAGTTTGCGGTCAACAGGACACTTTTGTGGAGACAAGACAAGAGAGAGAGAGAGAGAGGAAAAAGACGGATGTAAAAGAATGAGCAGCTCCAAGCGGCAGAGTTGCCATGGCTACGGGGAAACGGATGAATGAGTGACATCACAGCGGCGGGGAGGTGAGAGAGTGTGAAATTGATTTGGTGGCGGTGCACGGGGAGGCGTCTCTCGTCTTCTCGTCGGGCAGACACATTTCTCTCTCCTCCGTACCCCGGTGTCTTCTGCGGACGCGCTCTCACCGGTAAGGCTCTGCTGTTTCTCTGCTCCTCATCAGAGTGAGGGCTGATTTTAAAGGACGGTGGTGAGTGCAAGCGTGATTTCTCTTTTTGCTCTGATAACTGTCTTCAGGTTTTGACAACACGCGAGACAGACATGGAGAGAGGACGTGTGTGTGTGACTGTGCAGGGCTGTCATGTGGGGCTCCCCGCGTGCCACTGGGAATGAAAGGAAAGGCAGATGTGGCGTGCAGTTGTCACGGGTCTAAATATACCATGAGATGCTTAGTGTGGAAGAATGTGTGTGTTTCTGGGTAAGAATGAACAGCTGATTGAAGAATGATTTGAGTGTGCTGTGAGATATCTTCACTATGAGGATTATTGTAAAGGTTGTCACATGTGAGAGCTCTGCTTATCTGTTGATATTATGCTTATGTGTTAGAGAGAGACGCACTATTTTGTAGCGGTGCTGTTGTCAAGCAACTTGCTGGGCTGATGCTTTCAGTTCTCATGCAATAATGTCCTGGTCCCTTAGCGAAATTGTCGTGTCACTTTCCCCTCTCTGTGGGGATATCAAAGCACGGGGTCAGCCACTGAACAACACCTTTTGGAGCTGGTAAAGTTTCACTGAAGAACACTTCAGAGAAGCTGCGTTTCCAACACTGGAGTGTGAACCTGGCTCCTCCGATTAAAGGGCGGTCTTCCTTCGTAGTTCACCACCCTGCTCCGAGTTCATTGGCAAAGCCTGTGCCATTCATCTGGCTGTGTGATTAATGACAAAGTTGACTTGCGATGACCCCCTGAGGCACAAACAGCCAGAGCTGAAAGGTAGAGGCTAGAGGTCACAGCAAAGCCAATCAGAACCCTTAGCTCAGTGTCTCTTCCCTTTTGGCCAGCATCCACAGTGGAGAAACCGATTACATTAGGGATCAAAGGATAAACATTAAGGCTGATTTGGAAACCATAATCCATTACTTGGACTATCAACTGGTGAACAGATCTAGTGTGGAGGTGGATTTGGAATGGTTGATGGTTTCACATCTTTTCAGTGGCTACCATCAAGGCCAAAATGTTGTTGAACAGTGAATTGAAGCTCCAAGGACACCGTACTGCAGGCAATCTAGTGTTTTGGCCTCCTGTGACAGGCATATGTGAACAGTGCTGTCTGTGTGGTTTCTGGGAGAATATGCAAAGAGAGAGATTTACATTTGAATTTGCATTTAGTCATTTAGCTGCCACAATCAAAAATCAGAGCAGTCAAGTACAGAGTATTATGGGTAAAACCATGACAGTACATTACAATGCTATACAGTTACCTGAAAGGGTTGGAGTTAAGGAGTAAAGGTTGAAAGCTTAGTTTAAAAAACAGCAGGAGAAATGTTATTGCTGATGTGTTTCACATTGTGCAAGGTAGCGTTAAGTGGAGGAGATGTTGTGAGGGTGTCTTTGAGAAGGAGTGAGATGCCAGAAGTCAGTGAGGCCAGCTTCAGCACTGAGGGTACGCTCAGGGCATCAATTATTAAGTGGGAGGAGATGAATATACATGAAGCTATTTCAGACAGTTTAATTTGAAACTGAAGAAAAATGTCCCTGGCAGGTGTAGGTTGTATACAATACATATACATATATGTACACCGATCAGCCATAACATTCTGAGCACCTGGGCACCCTGGTGGTCAGAATGTTCTGCAGCCCCATACCAACAAACTGTGATACACTGTGTATTCTGACACCTTTCTATCAGAACCAGCATTTACTGTTTCAGCTGTTTGAGCTACAGTAGCTGTTGGACGAGCGTCTTGCCTAACAAATACCCCCAATATTATCGTAATAAAAAAACTAAAACACTGACGCTAACAAAAATGTAAACTAAACATTTATAAACAATAAAGACTAAGCAAAACTCACTAAACTAACTGAAAAAAAAACTCTGGTACAGACAATATGAAGCTGTAATAACTCTGGTACAGACAATATGAAGCACTACTGGCCTGTCTTTTAAGTCAGGTTTCAAAAGCTCAGTGGCGTGTAAGGTCTGCCAGCTTTCTTCGGCGATGCCCAGCGTCTGCGCGCTTCGCGCTCACGCTCTCGCGCCCGTGTAGAGCCACACCAGCTCTTATGCACTTTGTCTCCAACCACTAAACACAACTGCCCTGTAGCAAAACGCAACTCAACAGAGTTTTTTTTTTTCTCAAAGTAAATAATGTGAAGTGGAATCTAAGCCGTTCCACTCTGGGCCTCTGACAGTGCATCCTTTTTTATGTGATTCGGTTAAACAGTGAGTTTAGTTTTATTCTTGATCTTTCAGTTCTCTTTGTGCCTCTCTCGTTTACTGTTCCTGACCACTGGAAAGGAGGAGGTGTTTCAGTGAGGTTGCTTAGGGACATGAGGGGTTGTATTTACACCATGCTGAACTCTTATGTGTGTGTGTGTTTGTGTGTTCAGTCAGTCCTTCCTCCTGGTTGCCGGTTGGCAACGCTGTGGTCTGATGCGGTGAATGGACCTGTATACACATACCCTCATATTTAAACATGCCCACATGCACAGTGTGCAGGGTTTTGTCATGTAGGTCTACCCTATAGAGTTAGACAGAGACTTGTTATATATTAAAACGGGTTGTTTCATTTGTAACCACCACTTTTATTAACTCTATGTACTATGTCACAATACCAGATATTAGTACTCGATACCAGTCCCAGTGAAATTTCATGATTCTCAATACCAATTTGATACCACGGTAAAAAAACAAAAAACAGTGGCCCCTTTTCTTATTTACTTATTTCACAATTTAACTCACAAACTACTTTAATCTGCTCACCTTGCTTTTCCCTTCAGTACACTTTTTTTAAATTTTCTTCAGCAGTAACTTTTATAAAGCCGGCCATAAAACACAACTCAGGTTTGAGATTTTTTTACACCCATGATTCTGTTTTAACAGCAGGTTGGCATTGACCTGAAGTATCGGTTCTTGTGACATCCCTAGTATGTAGGCGTTGAAAGCAAGTGTTCAGATGGTTAAAGCAATACGTTTTTGTGGAGCACCATGGTTGCTGTAGCGTGACTATATGGCCATACATGCTTGTGAATTATTAAGTCCTACAGACAGCAAACTCTCTCTTCCTCACTTGGTGTCAGTCTCTCTTTGACTTGTAATCTGTGAAACAATGGGTAATCTGTTGAGCAGAAAACCTGGAACTTTAGAGACTACTTTTCTTGAAAAATAGCCCCTCACTTAGATCACCTAAATAAACCTTCCCTTTAAATGCTCCCTATTTATTTTGGCCATGTCAAAATGGCCAGTTTAGCTGTTCACATCAGACGCAGAGTGGAATGGACTTGATGACACTTCATCATTAAAAAAGGAGGCATTAAACTGGAGTTAAAGTCAATGCTTGTCACACTGGTAAATTACTGCTGTTTGTAGCACAACTACTGTTTGTGAGCAAGTGCTGTCCTAAATTGTCAAGAAGAACTCCTGGAAAGAGTGAAACCCTGTTTATGAATATGTGGGCACAGATTTCAAATCCTTGGGCATGGTTTACAAATGTATGGACACAGATTATGAATCTGGAAGCACAGTTTAGAAACCATGCCCACGGACTGAGAGTACAGATTTGCACATGAGGGTACAAAATTGTGGGTGCAGGTCGCAAAACCGTGGGCACGGTGTATAAGTCTGTGGGCACGGTGTATAAGTCTGTGGGCACGGTTTATGAATCTGTGGGCACGGTTTATGAATCAGAGAGCTCAGTTTATAAATTGTGCACACGGACTTGGAAACCAAGAGTACAGATTTACACATTAATCTTTTTTTCCCAGCTGAGCCCAGGGGGGCATCGTACACAGCAGAGACTGTGGAATGATTATAGCTTGTTGAGGTCTGTGCTGTGATTGAAGACGTGGAGTTAGGCTATAAACTCGTTGCCTCCTAAACAGTTCGTCCTCCTCTAGATCTTTCTTACACAGGACATGTGTTGCAAAAAAATGTTGCTGACGGGTCAAACACAAGCTTTGTGACTGCTGCTACTTGTATGGAGCATTCAGTCAGACTCCAAGCATGCAGTGGTTGTTAATAGAACATGGGGTGGGAACTGTAATTGTTGTGTAATTTCATTTTGATTGAGACATAATGTAGCTCACTTTGTTTCAATGCAGTTATGTACGAAACACTCACTGATTTTCAGTACTTCAGTGACCGTTGCCTAGCCTCTCTGTATTTTTTTCAGTTTCTCTTTTTGGCTCTGTCCAGCAGCTTTCAACATCAGTGTAGACAGCACGCAGTCATGCAACATTAGATTATGAAGAATGATAAATGACTCTGCTATTGTCTAGTCTTATTAGAAAAGTGTGCCTCATTTTAAACTGAATATATGACTACACTGTGATGAAACACCAATGCTGTTGTTAAAATTGACATTATTACCACGTTTTTGAAAATCTGCATTTTGTGGGTTCAAAGGCTCAAATGTTTTAAACCAGCCTCCACTGTGAGTGGGAGTCTGTGAAACTGCTGCGTTCATTTTCAGATGTATACTGATTGCGACGCTCCATTGCTACGCTGCTGTGGTCAGTCTGTCAGTCACTCTGGCCGGTGTTGAGGCCACGCCCCCTACTAAGTGAGGGAGCTAACAGAACTGCCGGGTGTAGTCACAGTTTATATCAGCTTAATACTGCTCTTCTTAGTGCTAAACAAAATAGTTGGCTTGAACTGGTTGAAAAAGGCTGTTAAATTTGTCTCTCTGTCGCTCACTCTTTTTTAACTCTGTCACCACTCTTTTTGTTTACTTTCCTGCTCTTGTTTTGTATTGATGAAGACCACTAGGCTGGAGAATGGCTAAAAACTGATGACGGCGCTGTGACCAAATGTCAGTATACTTTCTGTGTTTACCTTAAGATCGGTTTGTTTGATAACTCTTAAAGCTGGATGGGAAAACTTGCCAGTTGTGGAAATTACAATGAGATAAGAAAACTCTTTGTTTTGCACGTTGGATTTTCTGCCAACATCAGCAAGTCTAGCTACAAACAA